GTCAGAAAATGATTGGATCATGCTATGAATATCAGAACTCCCAGGTTAATAATACTGCACAGGCAAACTGGATAAGAGCCTACAGAAGCGTCTATCATCTTCACAGTCACCAAATGATCTCACCACTGTGGTTTTGACGCCGCTGGAGTTCATGGATTTCCAAACTTGCTTAGTCTGGAGAGAGCATCCTCCAAAGAATGTGCGTTTCTCGCAGGGTGACTGTCTTTATGGTTTAAGCAGATGTTGGTGAGCTTGCCACTGTAGAAAGTCAAATGAGCTGGTCCTGGAAATAGATTAGGATGTCATGCCTACAGGAAGTGCCATGTGCACATGAAATGGAACAGCAGAGAAGAGAATGGCTTTTGTAGCTAGGGTTGCATTTGTTATATGAGAAACCTCTCCCCTTCCTGATTACGAACTTACAGCACTCCTCCTCTAAACTTCTTTTCAGATATAGAGAAGAGGCATGTGTTGCACAGGTGCATACCCGCCCTCACGCTGGCAAATGCATTGGTATGCTTAGTCACAGGAACCCGTGTACACTCAGACATACACGCACACTCTTCTGTACACAACACACACACATCACTTCTTACATGTCGGCATGCTTGCTCTTCTTTGCTAGTGCTATTACATCCACACACCATCCTACAACCATTTCCATCTAGCTCTTTTTTTCCAGTTGGAACATGCTTTTCTCTGTCTTAAACAGAAATCTTGCATTTTAAGCCTGAGAAAATATTTTGATATTTTGGCCTTTTGGAAAAGCCCTGATTCAGCCATTCTGACCAGTTGTGAAATGAAGCCGTGTGATGACATCCTAGCTATGAAATATGAGTTTTCCCTGTTAGCAGAGGGATTTTGTGATCTCCATAGCTGTGTACAGTACATCTTGTGTATATGAATGAGTGACACAGCACAGTGCCTGCAGGAAACTCATTCTTTTGCAATGGGCCATATGGGTGTCTTTGCATTTTTATGATGCAGATAGGAAGATAAGGATTGTTGCTTGCACTGTCTTTCTTTATTTAAAGCTCTTTTTATTGCATTTTGTTCCAGCACGTAGCTCATGCATTGCAAAAGCATGTCTGAGATAAAGCAGAACTGAGAAACCCCATACCAACATTTGCAGCGGAATATTACAGGTCAGATGAGGTGGGTCCCAAAATAGAGAGGACTGTAATTAACTCTGACGTGAAATATAAATGGTTAATGAACATTCTCAACAAGGGGGGAATGGGAGATTAAAATATACTAGTTATGTCGGAAGGTGCTAAAGCAAATGTAACAAACCAGTGCACAGCCCCCTGTCCCCAACCCACACACACATGCAAGCCTTAGGTGGTCAGCATCAATAGATCGCAGGACTTTAGCATCAAAAACATAAGCCTGTACTACCTGAGCTAAGGGAATAACTCAGTTAGATGTGAGTAGGTAGTAGGCTGCTATCCATGCTGATCCAGCTACTGGAGGGAGACACTCGCATATGCTAAAACTGTATTTCAGGCCACGTGGTATAAGTATACTTTACCTCCGCATGAGAGAAGGGACTAAATGACCACTCTAGATCCCGTCCAGCCCCACATTTCTATGATTCTATATAATAGCCAAGCAATCCAGTAGGAAATGGGTCACTTCCATAGGTGTTCTGAGATCTTTGTCAACCCCACAGGAAATGTTTGGCGCTGCAGTGCTGTCTTGGAAGTGATAGTCTCGTTGGCTATATTGTTGCTCAAAGGGCAGGAAAGTGGATGCTGGTATTCAGATGCCTTGGAGGGGGGGGGTACAGTATAACAACCTGGATAGAATGGTTTCTATCAGGGGCATAAAAAAGTGGGTGCAAGCAGGGCCATGCCCCCCAATATTTGATGGGGGCACAGAGCTCCTCTGGCCCAATGACTCTGGCAGGGAGAGGGAGCCCCTCCAGCCCAGGGCCATAGCAGGGTCACAGAATATACCCTCCCCTGAAAAGTAGTGGAATTTAAACTCCTGTGCATGCCCCTACTTTTCACTGTAGTATTTGGGACCCTCTTGTACCTTGCTTCTGAAGACCTCTTTGAGTGAGTTGCCCTCCTCAAACCTGGCACCAGCATGTCTGTGGTTCACTTTGTTCTTGGCTCGTTGCTTCACCTCTCCCAGTAAAGTAATCAGGTAGGAACTGTCACCTCATGTAATGGTGACTGGATACCAGTCTCCAACTATACTATGAAACCAGGGCTTTGGAGTGGAGCCTGGAGCTGGAGCGCGGAGCAGCAGAGCTGCAGGTTTTTGCCTGGAGCTGGAGCGGAGCCGGAGCACAGCTCCAAAGCCCTGTAAAACTGCCTGATTTTAACCCCATACAAATGTATGGGACCACCTCATTGCTGAGAGAGGAAAAACACTTGAGCTCACACAAGCATGTTAGTGCCAGGTTGTCAGGAAACTTCTGGGCACCACTGAGAGAAGAAACTGGATCAAAAGCATATGAAGCACAGTGGGGTTCTGTTGCCTCTCATACTATAAAAACTACCTTTGTACCTTAGGCTGGAAAGATGATGCTTGCATTTACCTTTCTGGGTGAGGGAAGAGAAAATGATTGTAAAGCAGACTGAATAAGGATTGAATGATTTCCGTTTCCCAGACTGCTCATCTCAAGCTTTTGGTTTGAGCAGTCAAGGGCAAAATCCTGGTCCTATTGAAATCAATGGGAATTTTGACATTGACTTTAATAGAATGAAGATTTGGCCCCAAAAGGCAGCTTTGAACTAAATTCCTTGCTTATTTATAGCTTCAAGTGAATTGCAAGGTAAGGGGACCTGAGAAATATAGTGTCATGCCATTGAAGACAGTCTGCTTGCTCCTGTGTAAATGAGCAGAGAACTGGGCCTAAAGTGTCTCTCACTTGTGGAAGGCTATTGTTTAGTTCTGTGGTAGCTAAGGTGTTTTCTTTTGGTGCGAGAGACAAGCCTGGGGTGGAAAGAGGAAAGGTCTAGTGCAAACAGGATTCCTGAGGTTGCCATGGTGCAGGGGAGGCCACCCTGGCTGTCTAGGTGGATTTGATCAGCTGCAGCTTAGTCATCTGACAATGATGAATGAACTGGGAGGCAACAATTGCTGAGGTATAGAGGAGCCTCCAGGGGAAACCTGTCTGCCTCAGAGCTGAGGTTATGCTATGGGTATGCCAACGGCACGTGCCCTTGGAAAGCACCTAAGAGGAGTTTGTTTTGCTGCACTTGAATGAGAGGTTAGAGACACATTTTTCTTGTACACTTTGAGCATGTAACACACCAGGGTGGGGCAGGGGCACACTTTCAGTCACAAGTGACTAGATCAGGGCCCAGTGTTTTATTACTTGGTAAAAACCTCTGGCCAGTATTATGCAGGAGGTCAGACTAGATGTTCATATAGTAAAGGTCAGAAGGGACCATTATGATCATGTTTTAAAGTTACACATTCCCTTGGTAGTTTAAAGAGACCTGCTGTCCCAAAGGGAGGAAGGATAGTCTTGTTACTAACACATTGGTCTTGAAGTCAGGAGATTGGTGTTCTATCCTGGGCTCTACGCATCTAATCCTTTGAATGTGGGGTTTTGGATTTTTTGGTTAGTTCTAGTGCTGTCCCTTGGACAGGGTAGAAGCCATTCAATGCATTATGCACCTCCATGATGCCAGATCTGGCATGTTACAGAATAGGATGCCTGTGAGGGACAGATGTCTATTGATGCCATCTAGCCATCATAGTATAGGTCTTCTGGAGGGTCTTTTTCATCTTGCTTTCATTGGGTCAAAGTCAAAGATGATTCTCACAGGGAAGTTGGTAGGCATTCGGAGATGACCATACTACCTTAGAGTGTTGGCTGACTGGCTGGCTGAGAGAGCAGGACCTGTGTAGTTAGAAAATGTATCTCTTCATTTGACTTGAATTTGTATTATTTGATATTTTCACTCATTTGGAGATGCTGCATGTGAATGGTGTCAAGCTTCTTTTCAGTTTTGACAGCGAGGGGCTGTAGCTCAGAATATTGATCACCAAAGCATTATATGTGGGCACATTGTTTATCTTTGTTTTAGAGATGGGGAAATTCAGAGAGGAGGAAGATTCTCTTGCATCATGGCATGTGGCTAAATTCGTTAGTATTTGTAAAGTACTTTGAGATCTTTCTGTGGAAGGAGCCATAGAGCCCAGATCAGATCTAAAATCTGACTTACCTTAATTGTTTTGGCTTGCTGGGGAATGTCTTCTGGATTCCAAATGCTGAGAGAGAAGCATATGGTCTATCAGATGGAAGTCCGGACAAAAGATCAGTACTTTTGTGCAATACAGGGGTCACTAAATTCTCCCACCCCTATAAGAAACAGAATAGCTGAATCTCAATTTGTACCCTTTATGCAGAAATTCTTGGGTGCTATTGTTATGCAGGAGGCCCAACTGGAGAATCATAATAGTCCCTCCTGGTCTTAAAATACACAAAGGTAGTTTTTATAGTATGAGAGGCAACAAGGATTGCCCTGTAGAATGGAATGTATGTTTACATTGTAGTCACAAAGCAAGAAGTTCTTTATTAGGGTTAATTGGATTCTATGGGCAGAAATATCAACCAGACTGGTTCCAGGTTTCTTGACCAAATGTTTTGCACAATATGGATCAGCATGTGTCATGTTGCATTGCAATGATGATTAGATTAAGTCCCCAGCCTAGAAGAGAGCATGCCCCTGAAACTCACCTCTGGGGTGAGGATGGCAGGAAAGAATCAGCCACGTAGGTAAGCGGCAGGACATGAAGAGCTTGTGGTCTGGGAACCTATCCCAGCAGTACAAAGAGAAGCCATTTTGGTAAGACTGGTTGTGTCCTATCATCTGTACTCCAGTGTTAGATCTCTGGGGTGCAGGATGCTTGTCGCGTGGGGATCATGATGTGACAAGCTTGTATGTTATAACAACATGTAACTGCACTGCCAAGCTGGTTTGCTGAACTTCATGCATGTCTAACCTCAGGTTAATTGAGTTTGCCCATTCCGTTACCTTAGTGCCATCCTGAGTTAATGGAACACAATCTTAGGTGATCTAGCATTCAGGGAGTTGTAGGAAAGCATTGCTATGGTAATGTGAACATAGTGATTTCCAAGGCAAGCTAATCCCTCATAACTCAGCAACTGCTGTAAATGAGAACACAGTGAGTGCAGGAGAGTATATTTAGGGTTGGAGTAGATCTGATATGCTATCCAGGCTTGTTGCCTAGCCATAGCAGATGTGCCTGCTCAGATTCACTATTATACTTTGTTATTAAGCTCCAATCAGGAACAAACAGTCACTGCTCCAGGGAGCCTTAAATGGGCAAAGTGACACAAGTGCACTTGGTGATGTAAAGGATAGCACTAAATGTGTATCCCTTTTTCGGGGGGTGCTTTCATTGAAAAGGATGTTAGCAGCATTTTACTGCTGAGTTAGTGTTAGTGAGTTTTGCACAAGTGAGTTTTCAGTGAGATTTGAGATTACCTCAATCTCTGCACAAGAGGACTGTCCCTGGGACACAGTCATCCCAACATACTCATCTAGTGGGGAGAGGTGGTAGAAAACCTGTCTGCTTTTCCATTTTATTTAGCAAACTTTTTCATTCAAACCGAACTGCAGTTGATTTCTAAGCCTGAGGGGTTGGAGTGTGGGAATCTTCTGCTAATCTCTTTTCCCAAAGGTCACAGATGGACACATACCACTACCAGTCCCCAACCCTTACATTGGTCCTGCAGCTCTCTAGCTGAGAAGCCAGGGCCAAATTAAGCATGGATATTCTCACTCTGGAATGTGCAGTAGGACAGAGCTTTGGTATGTGAACATAAGCACTGCTGCTGCCAGTGACGGAGCATTCTTGCTGCTCCCTCCTCACTTTATCTGACAGGAGTGAGGTGGTTAGGCTGGGGCAGTGCTCAGTGATGGTGGAGTAAGGGGCTGTGGTGAGGCTTTCTATTGCCAAAACTATGGCCATTCTCGCCATGACTGAGTGGCTGCTTTGTGCTCTCCTCGTAGTTTTAGGTGGTCTGGAGAAATGGGCTGTTGGACTTGTCTCAAACCCATACTTTGAGACATCCAGCATCTGGATCATCAGCACTTAAACATAGAGGATTTAAGGTGTGGCTAGAGAAACTGGAAACAGCAGCAGTTATCTAGGATCTTATCCGTTATCATAGCCATCACTTTTGATATGACATGATTATGCTTCTAGCTATGCCACCCTACTAGAATCACTAGCTGAGCGTTTGTGGGATGCTTTATATAGCATAGCTAGTGAGCTTAAAAACCCCCAACCTTTTGCACGTGCAAGTGTTAGAATAAAATACAGACAAGGGAGCCAAATGCTGCTCTCATTTACACCTATATAATCCCAACGGAGTCAAATGTAACTTTCATTTACATAAGATCCCACAGTATTTTTCACAAGCAGATGGGCCCTGCTGTGGTGTCTCAGGTACACTGAGGTTAATGGACAGGATTTGTTCCAAGTTCTATTTGTTCAGGCAATGCATGTACACCTGGTACGCTAGACGTGCCTGTATCTACACCTGTGGGTCATCACACCAATACAGCTCTTCAACCGGATGGCTGAGTGATTTTTTTTTTTTCTCTGCAAAATCTCAATCAGTGAAATGAGTTAAAGAAGGTTAACAATGGAGGCCTATTGAATAGCTGTGAGAGACGCTGCATTCTCGCATGTGAGGAATAGACCAAGAGGCTTGCAGAGATGCAATCCATGTGCTCTGACAAAACAGGAGAATTATGTTATAGCCCTTGCTTTTCTGAATTAAGAGAGTCTAAGGGCAGGATTCACTTCTGAAGTTCCAGATGCCTTATCTGCTCTTGTATGTTTTACATTCCTATAGTGTCTTTCGTCCTGATGGTGCTAAAAGCACTCCACAAAGGAGATTTTAATAAAAATCTTTTGGTCTACCATTGATCTGCAGCTACCTATGGGGTAGAAAGTAGGAGGTGTTTGAAAGCATACAGACACACTACACAGCTGTTTGGGATAGAAAGATGGAGTATCCAGTTGAAATGGCAGGAGGAATTTTGGTACAGCAGAATGTGCCCATGCCATAATTTGGCCAGAACAGGCGGTGGGTCTTTTGCAACAGACATGTTCTTGGCTCGCAATCAGTTCAAATCTAGCCAACTTTGGCACAGATCAAAGGTCATTATGGTTTGATGGCTGGTCAGTGGTCTGTGTAAAATGAGTTTGATGGGTCTCAATCCAGTTCTCATTGGACAAATGGCAGCATCACAAAAACACCCATCATACTTAATCTCAGCAGAGGCTGAGCATTGGACGGTCCGGGATTGTGCCATGGCAAAAGGGCTAAGGCCCCCTGGTGTGAGTGTGTGTGAAAGGTGACATAACTTGCACTCCTGTTGGTCACAAGGGATCTTTTCCTGTGGGTATACAGAGGATTTCTGTCTCCAGGGTTGTCAGTATGGCCAGCACTAACTCCATTTAGATGAAATGCACAACACGGAAAGTGGGTCAAAACCTGGCTTGTTGTGATGCTGAGTCCTACCTGGGCAATGCTACCACTGCAGCTCTTGCTGGCGTCTGACATGCTCCTCAAATAGCTGACTTGGGAATCTATTTAGAAAGGGGTCTTGCCAGCCCATTGCCTCCTTTTCTGTGTGACGCACAGGTCCCGATTTATAACGGCAATAATGAACTCCAGGGCGTGCTCCGTTGTACTGTAATCTCGCTTCTCAGGCTGCCAACAGCACAAAGCCAGAATGTGTGATTCTAGCACAATGATACATGCTGTTTGTTCCTCGCTGCTCCCTTCCTCTTCAGCTCGCATGGTGCAGATGAAGGAAGGTGCCAGGGGAGAGAGGAACTGCTCTTGAGTTACTATGCTACTCAATATACAATGTACCACTGTTATTTCAATGAACAGTGTAACTTATTCACAGGCCCTTGAAGGCTTGGGAGTTTTGGGGTGGGGGGTATCCTCTGCAAAGCTCAGTCTGGGTATGGTAACTTGAGTTCTCAGTTTCCTGACACCAAGTCTCAGGCCTGAATGCTGCTGCTGTCCCTTTGAGTTGGCTAAATTTGCTAAAGTATCTGGTGGGAGGTATATTAGTGCTGGGACTCCTTTTAACAAGTGCGTGTGTTAGAGAGACAGAGGCCTTATCAGTGGTGATCATTCTGAGGTGGAACTGCTCAGGTACGTAATTCATTTCAGCTCTAATTGTTGGGACTTCCACTGAAATTGGCATCACTCTCCTCTTTAGCCAGCCCCCACATATCTTCTGAGGCCCTGCATCATGGTGATCTTTTTTGTGGCCAAGGAGAGTGTGGACATGTCTCCCTGACAACTTGTCAGCAGTGCTCAGTGTGTCTGATGGATCACAGTTCCAGTTCTTGCCCTCCCTCACCCCCCCCCCCCAACTGGGAAGCTCAAGACCTGACCTCAGATCATCCAGGTGACAGCACAGTGTGGAGCCACCAGGCTGGCCACCTTGCCCTGCTGAGTGAATCTGAGGTAAGAGATTAACTAATCTCTGAGCCCCTTTTCTCCTTGGGAAAGTGTCTGAAGGCAGGGCTGTTCCCTAGTGGTTCTGCTATTAGGAGTCAGGAGAATTATGTTCTCTTCTTGGTTGTGCCGCTGACTTGCTGTTTGAACTTGGACAACTCACTTAATTGCTCTGTGTTACTTACTTTAAATTAGGGTTACCATACGTCCGGATTTTCCCGGACATGTCCGGCTTTTTGGGCCTCAAATTCCCGTCCGGGGGGAAATCCCAAAAAGCCGGACATGTCTGGGAAAATAGGGAGGGAGGGCCCGGCGGTGCTCAGCCGGGACCGCTGGGGCTGGGGCCGGCGCGGTGCTCGGCAGGGGCTGGGCCGGGGGTGCGGGTGCTCAATCGGGGGCCGGCGCCCTAGGGCCCGAGCTGAGCTGGACGGGAGACGGCGGGGCCAGAGCCTCTTGGCCTGGGCTGGCCGGTTGCTGGAGGGAGCCGCTCAGCCAGGGGGGCCGGACTGGGCCGCGCCAGCCCCAGCCCCAGCTTACCTGCTGCCTCCCTGTTTCAGGCTTCCCGCGAACATTTGATTCGCGGGAAGCAGGGGAGAGGGGAAGGAGCAGGAGGCGGAGCGTTCAGGGGAGGGGGCAGAGTCAGGGCGGGGCTGGGGGCGGGGAAGGGGCGGAGTTGGGGCGGGGCCGGGGCCCCATGGCGTGTCCTCCTTTTTAAAAATTAAAATATGGTAATCCTATTTAAATGGATCGAACAATGCTGATTGTTGTTTGACTGAGCATTTGCCATCTGCTCAGCCATAGAGGCAGACAGGTCCTTTGGGGAGGGCTTACATCCTAAAATCTCTACACTGTGGACATAGAAGCCAAGATTTGTAGTATCACTGTTTGCAAAATATGCATGAATTTGCACATACAATATGTGCAATCACAATAACTGAGTGTGTAAAGGACCAGTCTCTGGTGATTTGCAGTGCAGCTAGCCCTAGTTGTACATACTATCATAGTAATAGTGAATACAAACGATGCACCTGAATACTTCTAAAAATCCAACTGCCCCAGATAGTCCAGAAGATAGGTTGTCTCAAAAGATAATCTACCTTTCAGTGGTGTTTTTGGACCTTTGTGATCTGTGAAGGACAAATGTTTTAAGGCTAGTTTTGTTTTTCCTTCCATATAATACTACTAATGGGGAAAAAAATCAAGTCCCTAACTTGCTGTTTTGA